TATAGAGCGTTATTAAATTTATTGCTAATGCAATCATATGGCACATTGACTTCTGAGGAAATTTTAGATGGCACTCATCATCAGAAAGGTTGCTGACCCCTGACCTAAAACATATGACCAAAGCAATAAAGAAATGGCTAAAGAAGAAACACATTAAGGTCATGGAGTGGCCTAGCTAGTCTCCAGACTTTGAAGCTTTGAGTTGCCAAGCAGCTGCCAAGAAACCTCAAGGTTTCAGTGAGTGTCTGTAAAGAAGAGTGGGCCAAAAATCCCACCAGAGATGTGTGAAGACCTGCTGAGCAACTACAAGAAACATGTTATGGCTGTCTTACAACTGTGGTTGCCAACAAGGATTTAACTTTAATGTATTTTTTTTCTGAATTTCTGGTTGATATTCTGTCTCTCTCCATTAAAATTAAACTACCATAAAAATCAGAGAAGATTAGAGTTCATTTCTTTGCAAGTGAGCAAACTCAGCAGGGGATCAGATCATTCTTCCCCCCACTGTATTTTGACATGCTTCAGTGTAATGTATTGAAATAACAAGATTCAAGTATGTTCCTAGAGAAATGCAAAACTGCAGTGTCATTAATTGTGTGATTACCTTTTATTTTCTGGCTTACATTTGTGCATATTTTTTATTACTTTACTTGTTATGATTTTTCTGCACTCAAATCTCTGCTCTGAATCTAAACTGATGCGATTCTGTAGAAAAAGGAGACTGTAACATTTCACTCTCATCCAAATCCTAGCAGCCTTGCCCTATGTAAACTGCATTTTAATCTCATCTTGTCAAAATAAAATAGGGAGACGGCCTCCTCATTTCAACACCTTCCTGTCGTGTGGATGAGGCAGCAGCCATCTTATGTGCTCTGATGGAGAGTGGCAGGCACGGGAAGGATCCATGGGCACTTTAAGAAAAGTGACTATTCACATGACGCTGACTGTGACATGACTCAACGTGTCATCAGTACTTTTGCTCATCATGTGTGTATGACAGCTGCAAGCTTGTTTGCTACTTAATGAAATGGGATAAATCAACAAACTGCACTAATGTACTCTGTAGTGGGTTCACCTGAGCCATGAATCATACATACAAACAATTAACTATCCCCTCCCACACAAACACACCCTGGCAATTAAACTTCTGTGCACACATTTACAAGCCAGCACAACTACAAAAGGAAGTAACCGCTAATTAAGAATGCAAACACATCCGTCCACTCACACCCACTACACACACAGATATGAGGAATACAAGCATGAATGCTTTTTCATGAGGTATTTAAAATACACTCCAACACTCTGGTGAGATTCACAAGTTCACACTTGTGCTAACACCATGTAAAGATTGGCATCTTCCAGCATAAAATAAGCAAACATTGCACCCATGCACAGACACAGAGCAGAGGGACTGGGAAGCTCAGCCTCCATTTTTGTGAAAAGCATTGATGCAGGCTGACTGGGTGGCTGAGCAGGAGTGGTCATGACTCAGTCCGATATGGTATGCTCTAGCTCACATATTTGCCTCCAGCAGCTCTTCTCCAGCTTGAGCGCAGCAAAACATTTGGTGAAATGGAGTCAAAAAAGAACAGTTTTATAACGGCCTCAGCCACACTACATTAAAAATGCACAAAACGGTCCCGGGCTAATCAGTAATCATTACCTCCAGTCATGACCATTGAACGTTTTGATAAAAACTCTGCAGGCTACGCTTGGTATTTCACTCACAATGAAATCTTCGCTTTACAAAACAGACAAAAGGCAAAATCTAATGCCAGAGAGCATGTCTTTAAAAAGTTTGTCTAAAAAAAGAAGCACATCCTCCCTTATTCTAGATTTCGCACGATAAATAATGCATGGCATTTGCTCAAGCTAATAGAGGCCCAAGGCACCTGATGCAACTGTAAAGAGTTCTGCAAGACAGACGTAATGATTGGCCTGAAATTACTCCATTATTAATGAAGCAATTTGCTCCTCACTCAGCCTCTGAACAAGCCTAGTGGGTGTGACCAAAGCATTCCACTGCAAGTATGCACTTATGTAAGGACGCCTTGCAGCCCAGAAATCAACTTAGAACAGACCAATTATAGTAACAAGGCACATCTGCCTTTTATTAGCTGACATACTTCATTAATGAGCCCTACCAGGAGGAACATAAATATCACTCAGTGCAGGGGATGACTATGGACTGGACAAGGCTAAATATATTTGTGGCAAGTGAAAACCTATTAAAGCCAACACTGTATATAGCCTTCATGTTCTACAGGACCAATCAGCCACTGCAATGTCTGAAGCCAGGCTAAAAATGCATACAGGACTCAGTACCTAATCACACTGAATGTAAAGAACTGCTTTGGTCCTGTCACTGACACTGCTATTAAACAGGCACATTTGCATACAAAACTTGTTTCGATGTTAAATCTTTGACTTCGTCCCGATGCGTGACACAGACTCTCATCAGTAATAACCAGACAGTCTGCCTACTATTCAAATACAAAGGCTGTGCATAATCTACACAACTGTTGCCAAATTAATGTGTGTTGCAAATGATGATATCATTTTTATTCAGGCGTGGATTCAAAAAACAAATCAAGGAAATCGAATAACACCACACAAATCTTTTAAATGTCAGTTGCTGTGCTCATTCACGCCCAAAACAAGTGCCCCTTTGTTTTTTTAGGAATCATAAAGAAAGACAAGAATCAAAGTACACCTGCCCCACACCCTTTATGAGGGTTGCTAGCAGGTTTAGGCATCCAGCCTGTGACGCATCTTTCAGTTTAGCCTCATGACACTGCTGTAACCACAAGAATAAAAAGTGCAGGCCCTTTTAACTCCAGTCAAATCAGGTGCGTCCAAACCGATTTGTTTTTTAAAGGGCTGTTCTTATACATAAATCCAAACCAATGTACCGACAGACAGTCATGTGACGGTCCTGCTAACACTATCCTTCTATGACCTTGAAGGGTGGAGAGACACCGTCTGCTGCTTTGAGTAATGAATGCCCCACTGGCTGTTCGTTATTTTAAATCACATCTCAAACTGGCACAAAGACGCCAGCCGGCTGGTCATATTTAACCTTTACATCACTGAGGTATTCTTCAATTTGCTGCATCATGCCACAGCCTGCCACAAAAAGAAAAAACATACTGTACGGTTCAGTCTGGCCAGACAAGCAATACGCTGACCTACTCCACAATCTAGTGCACTGTATCATCAGCAATGACATATCCAACTGAACCGAGGGCTTTATATTCAAATATTCTCTCCAGACTATGAGTCAGCTAACTGTTTCCAATTTCTGCCACCAAGGTTTGACATAAAAATGATTAAAATCAGGGTGAGCATTTTCTCAACATGAACGCGAGCTCAGCTGGGGGTTTTTTATCCACCTTGTTTTCTGTAGATATTTGTGTGCTGCACACACAGGTCAGTGGAAAAGAAGAAGAAAGCTGCAGGTTAGCCTTTTACTTCATTAACTCCAAAAGTGGGTTGAAAGCTCTCTTAAAGTGAATGCAGTGAAGGCCAGATGAACAGAGGTAAACAGCGAGAGATGATCAAAGCCAGTGCGAGTAAAGGACAGACAGTGGAAAATGAGAATGACAGTTAGAGAGTAAGACAGATAGAGAGTGTTTAAGAGTCCTTGACAATTGTGTCTGGGCCTTGTGCCTACTCTTGTCAGGCAGTGATTTAACTGGGCCATGACTACACCCCCACACTGAGGCAAGCAGAAAACCTTTTGACATCTCCCCCCTCTAGGGCCAATCTGCTGAACCTTTAAAAAAATACACTAAAATTAAGCAGTGCTGCTTCTATACTGTGTGCAGGAAGTTCAGTTTACCTGTTGGCAGCGTCACTGCACTTTTAACTTAATATGCTCAGATTTCGAGTATATTGTAAAAAACTTGATTAGGGTTTTGTATTTCCTGTGGCTGAGGTGACATTGATTCTGCAGAGGAGTACTAGGAGAGGAGAGTGTCGGCATGTTAAATATTTATGCACACAAATAACTCTTTCCAGAAAGGTTCCCACAAGTATTGAAAAACATGACTGCAATAATTCTCTGAAATCTTGGACTGAGGATGACTGTGGTCTATTGCAGAAGGAGAGCGTGGTGAAAGCACAGTCACAGCTCAAGAAGGACAGTACGTGAAAAAAAACAGAAAGGCAAGAGACAAAAGCAGCAACTGAAATTCACTGCAGTAATGAGTGGATTATGACAGCTACGAGGGCTTGTCTCACCTGGTTCTCCTCATGAGTGACTCTCATTTGCTCTTTGAGGATTGACGTACGAGCCGCCTCTTCTTTCCTCATTATCCTCTCCTTCTTCAGTTCAGGACTCCAGAAACTCTTGATACTGTTGGTGGAAGATCCCAACTTACTGTCCTTCAGGTCAAGCTCCCGTCGCAGCATCTCATTCTCCCTCTGCATCTCCCTGAGCTGGGCCTGCATCTCCAGCAGCTCCCCACCACTGCCCCGCACTGCCTGCCTCAGCAGAGCAGAGGGCACCCCCTGGTGGTGGTGGGGGTGCAGCATGGAGAGGGAGCCCAGGTCACTGTAAGACAGAAGGTCAGCATGAGGCAGCCCCACAGAAGCAATATTGGGACTGCTGCCCATGGCTGTGACACGGCCCCCATACATGGCCCGACTGGTGGCGCGACCCAGAGTCATAGTGCCTTTTGGGTAGGTGGCAGTGGAGCCCACGCCCTCGTGGTCACTCAGGTACATGGGCCCCGAAGTAGCATAGGCAGCGTTGAGGGACTGGATGTTCTCCATGGAGAGCGTCTTGCCCCCCGCACCGCCCCCGCTCCCACTGTGTGCCCTTCGATGGCCCAGTCTGGGGGACCTTGGTAGGCGCGGGGACCGTACGGGGCTGCTCTCTACATGGCCTACAGCTCTGGCACTGCCGTACATGTCCTGTGATTCGGCGGTGTAGCCACCAGAGGGGTCCTTAACAGGGGCGAGTTATAATGAGACTGCTCTGACTCTTAGAACTGCACATGGATGACTTATTTCATGTCTGAAAAGGTGGAGTAGATCAAAGTCAGATCTGAGGAAACAGGAGAGAAGCTTCTGTTAGATAAATAACCACTATTTGTACGTGTCACATGAAAGGCACAGCGAGACAAAGCATTTACTATTACAAAAAACCCCCCAAAAAAAATACTGCATTCAGAAAAGAATACCAAAACAGACCTGGCCTGCAAAATACTACTATGGATTGAAAAATAACTAGTTTTATCATTTATTAGTTTTATTAGCAGCAAATTGACACAATTTATGTGACTTACAGGAATCTCCCAGCATCCCACTGGATTCATACACTGTCCAGCAGTGATGTACAGTAAATCCCATTAATGATCCCAAATAAACAACGGACTAATTCACAGGAATAATATATCACATGCCCATTCACTGATGCTTGCTTATTGTGCAGTAGAGTGAACAATGATATCCATGGAAAATTTACTGAGATACTAAAGAAAAATCTTTTAAAACATCTAGTCATTTTTTTAAGGTTTTTCACATTCTAATGATATTGCTTTAATTAAAACTAATAGGGGCTATTAGTTGTATTGTTTTATTATATTAAGATATAATGATAAAGTACAGACCCAATTAGCAGTGTTGATTCCTAATTAGCTCCTCGTGCGAGGAGAAAAATGTGTTGTTCGGAAAGTGGTTTTAATGAGCAGTTAGCCCATAACATGTCCCACATACACAGAAGCATGACCGAGCATGCTTGTAACAGTATGAAGAGCATCACAGCACATGAACACAGAGTATCACAGTGCATCCAACAGTGCAGTCAATGCAATATCTAAAGAAATAAATGTGATTTATGTGTGTACAAAAAGACAGCTAACAGATTCCATGGCAAACAGAACAGAGTAAAGCCCTGCAGTATTTTATTGTCTCATAAACGGATAATTTAATTCACACAGTAATATTCACAATAAGACTGTAAAGAGTTTGGGATTGAACGTGTCTTTGGGATCAGCACAATGCTGCAGCCGTTATCTCTTAACTGCATGTTGTTATGTGCAAACAGTAAAGTGTGGATGGTTGTCTGATTCTCTGCGTTTTCCTGTGTTAGACTGGTGAACTGTCCATCCAGTGTGTACGCCGCCTCTTTGCCCAGTGTCATCTGGCATAGACTCCAGACTGCAATGAAGAAAATAAATGGATATTTTTGACTGGGTTTCATTTTTTGAACATGTGAAGGGATTAGTATTAACTATTACAGTAATGCGATAGTATGGGGCCTAGTTTGTTTTTTGTTTTGTTTTTTCAGAAATTAAAAGACTGCAAAGCAAAGCAGACATTACTGGCTAAATGGGAGAAAATGATGTGGGAGAGTTAATTTTTAATGGGTGTAATAATGGATGTGTCATTTTGTGCCATCTTTAGTTTAAATATATCACAAGATGTATCACGCTTATAATTTATTTAAACCTGATGTCCTTATTACACCGTAGCTGATATTTGGGGTCAAATACCTTATATAACCCTGTATAACCCTGTATAAGACAAAGGTTAACTGAGCTTATAGGCATTCAGTGTAAGTTAAAAAGAACCAGACTCTTCCATCAAAGTGTCTCCTTTGGTGACACTTGTTACGCAGATCCAGTTGCCATGGTGACTATGCCAGGGCTAACAAAGATAAAGCACCTCAGTCGTCTGACGTAACGCTTGAACACGTTTCAAAAAGGTCTGATTAAAAAAAATTTTTTTTAAATGTTTAATTGTATATGCAGCACAAAAATTACTTAAGGGTATATTCTGCAAATAATTCCTTTTTTATTATCATGTACATTCTTGTATTTTACTTTGAAGGGCAGTTAAAATGACAATTAATGGCACGGTAGAGCATATCGACAGGTTGGGCAGTGTGTGAAATTCAATGCGACTTTTGATGATGGGGACCCTCAGCTGCTTTCACCGAAGCTTCATCTGTAAATCAGCGCCTGCCCAGCAGCGATCACTGCAGCCAGGCTGAGGAAGTGGAACGAGACAGTGTCTTCTCTGCTAGCTGTATTAAGTAACAGGTGTCTGGAAACAGAACGGGGCTGGACAGATATATGCATATATTTAAAAAGAGCAAAAGAAAATCAAATGGAATCTGCCTAAAGGCTCGGACAGAGCATGCCTTCAGATATTTCATCTATATCCTTTAGCTGCAAAAAACCCCTCTTTTTTAACTTTACATGCTCAAAGGGACACGAGCAAATTAAATGCAAATTTCAAATATGCTGACATGTGCAACAACAAAGCCTGCTGCTGTTATCTTCAGCGGTCAGCTTGCTACAGCAGCTCTGTGAAATCTAGTTGGTAAATTTATGGGGAAAAACCCCCAACATATCCAGCAAAAGACTGCAGAGAAGCAACTTTTAACAAATTAGCACTGTCCTGCTAATGAGCCTCATAATCATTATTTTTTTGCTGATAGATGACACTGCTCAGAGTTGAGGCATTAATGTGTCAGAAAATATCCAGTGAATCAGAGTTTGTTAGGATATATAAATGCGAGTCTCTACAGAAATAGGATTATTGTTTTAGTTTGACTTGTGTCACAAATGATGAGCCAACGATTCAGGCAGTGACTCCAGCATGTTTCTCACTCTGTAAGTTGACCTAAAATGTGTCTTCTTGCCCAACGGTGAAGCTTTTTAGGCTATCCAACTTCCATTCCGAGTTAGGCATATAAACTCTGAAATTACAGGAAAACCACACATGCAGAACAATGCTGGGAAATGTTTTTAAAAAAAACAACAACAACATACAAACACAGGTTTTGAAAGCACAATAGACTCCAACCGCTTAAGTGAACACACCAAAAGTGTGTCTTTCTCTGTCCTAACAGAAATCAGCTGCTAGTGATAAGGCTTTTACATTGCACAGTATTCCCTGTCCACCATATGGCACATTCCAAGCACATCATTGTGCCACAGTCATGTGTTTCTCTCCTTGCACTTGCAGTGGTGGAATAGTTGGATGGAAATCTGTAAATTGTGGATTGGTCATAGGACTTGCAGTGTAAGATTGCAGATAGTGAAAAAATTTACACTAAATCATCCATTTAGTCCATTTAGTCATTGTTGTTTGTTTCATTGTAGAAGCTGGACTCAAGTGACAAATATCTGTGACAAATACCATAACGTGCTATGTTCTACCTTATATTATGTGTTATAAAAGACTGTGGGGGCTCGTTTATTGTTGTTATAACCCTTTTCTAAAGGAAACTTGAATCACCTGCATCCGAAGCACACTGCTGAGAAAGCCAGAATGACAAAACTGTCAAAAAATGGAAAAAGGAGAGTATCTATTTTTGCAGAAACAGTGATAATATAGAAGAACCTCAAGAGATGCCAGCTGATGACAAGCCCAACTGCAATCATCTACCTTATATGGATAACAAAAGGTTCCATGACAAATCAGAAGGGAAATCAGAGCTTACTTCCATTATAACACCAAACTTGTTTACAGACTTTATTATCCAGGCTTTCTGCTGTGAGCTTATTATTGCGATCGTAAATATCAAACACGCGTGGTTTTGGAGGGTTTGAAACATAGATTATGCCGCTGAGGTGACAAACCTAAGAGCAAATTACAGTATAACACAGTAAAGAAACGATCGGAGAGAAATGGTGCGGAAACAGCAGAGAGGGTACAGATGTCCCGAAACAAAGATTTCACCACAGGGGATGCTTTGGCTACCTCTGGGGCCAGGGGGAGTGTTTCCTATCAGGCAATCGTGACATTTTATGAAAGGCTGCACGGGGGTATTTTGTTCTTAAAACTGATGAAACGACCAGCCTACTAAACTATATGGAGCGGCTGTGGTAATGTGAGGTCAGAGCGCATGCCAATGGCGGACAGAAGAAGGACATTTTCTATAAATAGACTGTCATATGGGCCGATAATAGTTAGTAATTCATGTGAAGGCGGCCAAGCACGCCAACCGGTTCCTTACGAGAGCAAGTGCAACACATGCAGCCTCCTCATCATGTATTCTACTACAGAGCCTTGACGCCCCCGAATGCCTCCCACGGACTTCAACGCTTGGATGATTAGATGAGAAAATGTAGATGTCCACTTATCCACCAAATTCCAGTATTTAAGGATGGTCCAGCTTATGCTTCAGGCTCCAAATGGAAGATGTCACGGGCGGGGGGAGGGAAATGTCAAACACCCCGATATCACGGTAGCCTTCATTAAGTCATAAACGACTATTTGGAGCTGAGGTGTTTCTCCTTATGTCGCCTTATTGACACTGGGTGATAGGGGCTACATTTAATGCAGCACAGTAATACAGGAAGGCACGACCGAGCAATTGACAGCTCACTGGGCCTACATTTTCGATAGCTCCAGCGTGGTGTGCATCTGAATACACCAATGAAATATTAGTCTAACCCGCCGTGGAGAAAGCCATTGAAACCTTTATTTTGAAAGACTTCGCTGCTCTATCGCGTCAACGCGGCTTAAAAATGCAAATTCTTACGTATCAAGTGAGCTATGCAATCAGCCACCACGGAATTAGGAGGATTTCTTTCTTCTTCTTCTTCTTTTTTTTAAACGCACACAGCCTGTGCCTTTTCCCCCGGCAAGTCGTTCATGAAACCCTCAAGAAGGCAGGGGGAAAAAACCTTCGCGCATGTCAGGCGTTCATTCTTCTGTAATGAAAATCACAGATCTGATGTGAGGTAAAATAAACGCACGGGCTTTACCTTTATCGATGTTAATTCCTCTTCTTCGCCGCTCTAGACGGCATCTTGTCGCCTCCATTCACCCGAGCAGCCTCTCTCAGCATCCTGCGCTGTCATTGGGCAGCGGGCACGCTCTCTCTCCTCCTCTACACGCCAGGGAGCAGCATCACCACTACTGCAAGTGGCAGCTGGCGGGAGGGGATGGGCGAGAGGGATGCGGAGAGCGGCCTGCGCTGAATCTCACATCTTGGTGTTGAATGGGAATCACTGACCATTCCCACCCACATTAGTAGAAGATATTTGGATCTTGTTTTATTTTATTTTCTTTGCACGTCTCTCTGTGCCAATAATAGCGCATCAAACCTGCGTGCACAGGGCCCTGGAAGCACTTTAATGCTTCCAGGTGCCCAAGTGTCCTTGTGTAAGATATCGAACCCCAGATTGCTCTCCGATGCGTTCATCAGAGTATGAATGTGTGTGTCTGTTAGATAGACAGCACTTAAGTGTAGAAAAATCGTGCTTGTATGAGTGGGTAAATGAAGCATGTTGTGTAAAGCGCTTGGAGCGCTCAAGTGGAGTAGAAAAGTGCGATATAAGAAACAGTCCATTTATAAAGATATGTTAAGTAGCCCAAAAAGGCTGGATTGGTTATAATGTAAGTACAATAACACAGAGTCATAAAGATACTTGAATCAGGTCACAGTTTGTTTACCAAAGCAAACAAACAAATATATCGTGCTTTAAAAAACACAAAAAACCCCACTGGAAATGTTTTTTTTTTGGTAGTCACTCACTTTTTGGCACACCACGGGCAGTCCAGTTTTACATGCTTTACAACACCCCAAATACAAGTGTGGTGGTTAGTTATCAGCTCCTGCACTTAGTCTGCTGCTTTAAGTAGTAAAATTGTGTATTTAATATTAGATACAAGGACAAATTACAATCAAATTATTATGTGATTGTATTGAACTGATTATATATGATTATATTGCACTGACCTTTGTTTAAGTACAAATCAGTTTGGATCATTGACAAAATATACCTGAATACTTTTTTTATTCAACAAGTAGTAGAAAGTAACTCAGTACATTTACTAAAGTATTTTAAGGTTACTTATGTATAGCAGGACTCAAATTTGTTTTTTTAATCACCTGTTTCTATCATTAGGGCTTAGTCTGTGTGACAGCCTCAGCTCTTTACAGCAAAGCCCGTATGTTTCTGTGACCTATCTGTAGAATGATAGGTCACAGAATCAGGACCACTCTTGCACATCTGATCTAGTTCATTCTTTCTCATCAAGCAGAAGAAACAATCTGCTTGCATGAAAGTGGATCAAGTGCATTTTATTACATATTGATGTCTGTTAGAGTGATTAAAGCCAGTCTAGGTTTGGTTTACATAAGCTACGGGCCTTAATCAGAAAATCCATAATAAAAAGTTGTAAATCAGTCCGATGAAAGGAAACAAACCAGAAAACATGCAGACCATCCTTGAAAACATGGTAAAGCTTAGCAATTAGCTTAACAATTAGCTTAGCCTTGCATGAAGCTCAGAAACAACAGGAAACCGCTACCGTTGCTGTATCATAATAAGACATAAAAATCTACTGCATTGATCAGCAACTCAAGGCCTCATTAATTAACTTGAAATTGGTCTTGTTTAATGTAGTGAAAGCTTTAAGCTTTAGGCAGTTTCTGTCTCTGTATTCAGTCAGAGGCAGAAACTGTTTCATCTGATGCACTGGTAATCTTACAGCAACAACAAAACTTCATGCAGTCACATTTTACCATACAGACAAGAGAGTGATATTAATCTTCTCTAACTCTCCACAAACACAATAGGAATGCCCCCACACCCAAAAAACATCCTCTTTAAAATATGAAAGCAGCCCTGAACTAGGACAGATAATCTTTGTTTTTAAATCAAACCACTGGAAGAATCACAGAGCCAGAAAAGCACTGACACATTGTGTGCTCTTTTATAAAACAGTATTCAGCCTGCCAGCATTATAAATCAAATTTGCCTGAGGGTAACCACGAATCTGTTGAGCTGCTCTGACAGAGGAACCTACGCTGCAGCGGAAATCAATCTAAACCCATGACATCATGCACTGTGATTTTACCATGAGGTGAGTGCGTCCTTCACATGTGTTTGAACACACAGCCCCGAGGGCTTTTCCAATTCCGAACAATTTCCCCCTGGCTCCTGTCTTCCTCCTGTTCTCACCAGCCTTCAGGCCTCCTGGAATTACAGGGACTTTCTCCAATTTTACATTGTAAACACTGACGCTAAGTGTGCTTGACAGGGCCCAAAGGAGAAGCATCAGCATTTCTGTGTCCTGAACACACAAACACGCCAGCTCACATGGTCTCTCTGCTTCTGAAGCTCTTTATTTCATGCGCACACGCCAGTATCCAGAAACAATAATGAGGGGGAAAGAGGAAGCAGTAAAACACCCTTTGGGCATGTTGACTGAATAATCTTTTCTTCTATCTTCCTCTGATGTTTACCTTATCATATCTCATAACCAGCAGGACCTCTTTTTTGTTGTGAGTGCTAGCCATAAGGTTTACTTGCCTCATGTGTGACAGTGCCACGGTCAGTTTGCTCAGTATTTAAGTGTTTTAGACTTTCAAGTTTTGTTTTTGTAAATATCTGATGTGATTGTTGGCTTACTTAGAATTTAGGCTGTTTCATGTATTTCCCCACTTTAGTGTATTTAGTGCTGTTCTCGATCCTTTAGAGTTTAATTCCTCCTTCAGTGTGCCATCCTCTCTTGTCAAGTCTCCTGTATTAAGTTTATTCCTTTGTCTGTTTTCCAAGTTGACTCACTTCCGGCTTTATTTTGATAGTCCATTGTTCCTTGTGCTTTGCTTTTAGTTTTTCTTCCCTTCTCCCATCTTCTGTGATTTAGTTCAGGTGTTGCGTCGTTCTCTCCATCTGTTTCCACTTCGCTGATTGCCCTTCTCTCTGTCTGTGTGTATGCAGTGCCATGTGTCCTATTAGTCTTTGTTAGAGTGTCTGCTCTCCTGGCAGTTCCCATTCCCTGTGTGTGTTTTCTTGTAGCTCATCATTTCCAGTGTTTCCCTTATTTTTTCTTGTTAACACTCTATTAAATCATTTGCTTTATCATCACCTCTGCCTGCCCGAGAGCCTGCATTCAGGCCATCCTCACAACACTGAACGCAGTTTGTAACATCCACAGACCCATGACAATCAGAGGCAATCTCTCTTCTTAACTTTTGAATTCAATTAGGTGAGTTTAAGGCCACGATCCCAAAGAATTTGCATGCACAGGTACTGGTACACACTCCTACATATCTTAAGTATCTCACACTACCCAAAATATAACCAGCACTGCATCACAAACACTAATGCCAAGTGCCACAAATCTAACCCCAAAAGCTCCATCACTCCATCACAATGTGGAAAGTTCACAAGAAACCACTAAGTTGTCAAATAATAACAACAACTGTATTAAATATTATTCTGAAATGTGTTACGGATTGTAAATCTGTAACAAAGAGAAATCTTATTTTAAAAACATGAGAAAGGAATAAAATAAAACAAAATGCCAATAGTGAACCACTGAAAAAGAAAACCGCCTGTATGAGACACACACACAGGAAACGCACATGCTGCAAGGGTAATGAAATGAAGGTGAAACAAATAAATAACAAATAAGTAGGTAGTCACACAGACAGGAAACCCTCATGGGCAAGAAGGGAAGTTTCTTAAATGAAAAGAGAGCTAAAAATAAAATAGGAAGCAGTAATAAAAATGTGAGGAAACAAAACATTCATTAATGCATATGATATATTGATGTGTAAGCTTTGTGCGGGGGGGGGGTTGTTTATTTTATCTAGCATTATGTTTTTAGAGGCAGTGGGGTTTTATGTGGCTTGTTCTGATAACTCTGTATCCAAATAATGGAAAGAAACAGTGAGACAACTGAATCAAAACTTAAATCTTGGTTTTATTAAAATTGGTTTATCTCACGCTAAAAAAAACCCCAGACCCCGAGAGCCAAGTGCTCACGAACATTATAAAGTTTGTGTGAGCAGTTTCATTATTACCCAGAAGCACACCCAGAAAGGGGCCAGTGTTCAGCTGAAATGAACAATCAACTGATTAGTTGTTCAAAACATTGCTGTTGATATTGTGAGTTCTCTTAACTGCTTACGTTTTTTTACAATAAACAATCCTAAATGAAAACTAAAAACAACCCTTTAATGAAACTTTGTGCTGATGCTCAGACAAAACAATGCATTCAAATATGATGGATTTCAGGGAATATTGGTGGGAATTTGTTCCCCCTTCTTTATCCTTACTTTGCTGGAGAAACCTGGAGTTTCGCTGAACGCTGATGGGTCGGTGAAACACGGCTGTCAGTCAGAGTAGCACTATGACATAAAAAAAATATCAGAAATGTCCTTTTTGTAAAGTTTTTAAAATCAGTATTTGCACTGATAGGAATATAAATAATTGTACAAAATGTCACCATAATAAAACCGAGTCTTAACAATTTCTTAAAAAATTTCAAAATCGAATCGTTGGAATTCTTTTTTTTGACATGTGCTATTCAAGCAATATGTTTTTCTCATATTTAGTTTTTCTTGATACAGTCATATTGTCTTACATCAAGGCATCCAGCACCGTAACAATAATAATTTGAGTTTACTTTTAAGTCATCAATTTCAGTTCTTAAATTAAAATTAATAAAACTTAGCCAATCAATGGCGAAACAAAGTCATCAGTCCATAAAGGCGCGCAGAGAGGGGTTGTTTCATTATTTAAAGGACTGCGAGCAGGTAGGTTGAGACTGGGACGGGTGAGGGAGGAAATCCTGTTTATTTAATTTCAATAGCCTGATTAATGTTGCCATATTTAGGGCTGATAGGGTTATGGATCTGTTTTTTGATGGTTTCAAACACATCAAAGTCCTGTTAAGCATCTCCTCAGACTGTAAAAGTCGCTTTTAGTTTTTCTGTACACTTTTCATCATAAACTCGTCTGGTTTGTTATGTGTTTAAAAGATTTAGAAACAGGGAGTGTTGCACTCGCAGGAGATTTCTCAGAAACGAGTAGCACGGTGAATCAGTTTAAATTTAAAGCCTCAATTCCTGTAATCTTTGAGCCCACTGAGTGATCGTAACGGTGACTAAATTGTAGAATGAGTGGCCCTCACTTCTGGTCACCCTCTGCTTCTACCTCCATCACTTGAGGATGAGTCATA